GTACAGCAAAATAAAACAAAAAGCTAAAACCCACGTCGCACCACACCACATCAGGGGAAAAACGCGTAGAGCATAGTAAAGGGGAAAAAAATAGCAAACGCCGTATTTAGTACGCCTAGAACAAAGAAAATATGAAACCTGTGTTTAGATCCATCACGAAGCGGCGGGAACAGCTGAGGAAGTAGTTCTGGGGTTGAGTCCAGCACTAGCGTACCCACTATGGTATGCACTATCGGCGTCACTCATGGGAGCTTTGCCATCGGCAGTGAAGGGTTTCTGACCATACGCAACGACCCTAGATATGTTCAGTACCAGTTCGGTTAGGTGCGGGGAGAGGGTGGGACTCACATATGCGCGTACAGCTGCTGACGGTGATCTTTGATTTCCTCGAGGACTGTAGCGACAAACTCGTGGACTTTCTCGATGGACCAGCCGAGGTGGCGGGTGAAGAGCGCAAGGGTGAAGCCCTCTATGCCATGTCAGTAGGTAGTTAAGAAGAGAGGGGGAGGTCAGATCCATACCGCTTCCCTCGAGAACATTGATGTAATTGATCTTACCGATCATCTTCATCTTTTCGTCCTTAGGCCATGGTCCATGGGGAATCTTGAACTGCTTCTCCTGGATATTGACAAATCCAGCCTTTTTCATCCATCCTCCAACTTTCCCGGCAACGTCCAACTTCCTTCCAACCTTATCCGACGCTATTCCTGCCAAAATACCCCACTGCTTGGCGTTCGAACCATCGGGCAACTGTCCATCCGGCGACGCGTCGGACCGGAATATAGAAGAGACTTCGACGCTCTCAAACCAGCCTCCAGGTGCAAGAGCGCTGTAGGCTTCGGTGAGGTAGGTGTTCCAGTCCGCAACGCAGCCGTAAACGCCGCGGGAGTGAATAAAGTCGAACGAATTGGGTGGGTAAAGCCACGGCCGAGTGAAATCGTCAACCTCGAAGGTGCCTGTGAAGAAAGGTTAGCTGGGCGTCCCAGATATGCTTGTTAGTGCCTTACAGTTGGCGGGAATCCTGCGGTCCGGAAGACAGATGTCAACTCATTGCTTCCCAACATAAGGACTGTGGGCACCGACCAAGTAGGTTGAACTGGACTCAAATCATTCCCTAGTATACTCGTATTCGGGAACTTGTCGGCCATTTCAATCGCCCAGATTCCTGTACAAGGTAATCAGCAACTGAGCCGAGCAGCCGCCCAGAGTATACCTACCGGTCTGTGCCCCAGTTAGCAACATACCGAAGACGGCATTCGACAATACTTACACCGGTTCCAAGATCAAGGACCTTCCTGGGCTCGTTGATAGGCGCCAGGTACAGCTTGCCATCTAGGATAAGTGTAAAGATATGGTGACTGCGGGGCAGGTAACGTTAGCGACATCCGCTCCGGTACGATCCGCTGTAACGAGTGTGCATGACGTACAAGATATCCAGCTGCTGGTTCTGCTTGTCGTCGTTGGGACCCCAGTAAGCGCCTTCCGCGTAGGCATGGTATCTGCACCAGCTGCAAGTCAGCCCTTCCTTCCCTCCCTTCGGCCCGTTGCGCGGGGGGGTGCCAAACCGTCTACCGTGCTCCCACTTGTAGTTGGTGACCTCCGAGAACAGGGTCGTAGTGTTATCACTGTTGAGACCCCGACGACTAATCAGATTTGCCTTTGACAGCAGGGCGCGTGCCGACGGATCAGAAAGGATAACGGACGATCCGGAAGAGTAGCACGAGTCGTACTGCGAGCTCACTTCGTCATAGTCCGAGTCAGGTTCGATCTCCATCATGGAGTCGGTATCGACCTCGTAGCCCGACTCCTCATAGCCCGATTCGTCGTCGTCAGACATCGTGGACGAGTGCTGAGACGACATGTCTGATGTGTGATGTTCGGGCGTGGGATTTAACGTTTGAGTGTCGGTCGGGACGAGACGTAGGGCAAAGAACTCTACTCTGGAGTCGCCGTCGAGGGTGGTGAGGATTAGATTGATGAGGGTCGGTAGGCGATTGAGATGGACGGTGGGGAAGCTGAGTTGTGCGACGGGTAGCGTTCACGGGTAACTAGAGTAGAAGAGACGCAGAGAAGGCGCAAGGACAGGGATGTGAGGATGTAGGAATTGGCGATTGGAACGGCGCGAGAGAACAGTCGCAGAACAGATTGAGCTTGGAGAAGTCGTGGGAGCCAGAGAAGGAGTGGCAGCTAGAGAAGACGTAGCTCTGAGCCGGGATCGAAGGGAAGGAAAGAAGCCATTTTGTAGACAAACAGATCGATTGAAAGAGCGACGCAGAGATCGTAGAACTGCGTAAGTAGTGTGCGAGCGTAGAATGGTGGAGGGGTGGGTGGGGGTGCTCGACCAAAGCGCGTGTGGGTGCATCTTGCGCCCAACTCGATCGCGACGGGCGTCCATTCATCGACAACAGATTACCCTCCATTCCGTCGCCGATGATCTCGTCCATTCCTGTCCATTCCTCGCTTCTTCCCACGACCCTGTTTTCGGGAAGCCTGGGCCTTGCTGCACCTCATCTCAACCCCGAGCAAAAACTCCTGCCCCGCTAACCCCACCCTTCCCAACACCCGCTCGCTCGGCAACGATTCCGAGCCCTAGGTACCAAGTACCCTACGTGCAAACGAGCGAGACGCGACAGCGTGGGGGAGCGATCGAACGAGAAACACAAAAATTTTATTTTTTGAGAGCGATCCGCGATAGTTAACCGCCTGCCTATTCTGAGCCACTGCTCTAGTTCCACAAATGCTCCATACAACTGCCGTGGAAAAATCTTCAGCATCAGGCTTTGTGTGCGGAGTGAGATGTGTACAGTTGATTGATTGATGGATTGATCCGGAAACCTGGGTTGCCTTGCATGCTGTACTTGTACTCTACGGTACGATTACTTACCGGATCGGAACCCTGTGAATAAGATATTATATGCGCGCAGAGGCTTCGCCTGCCACCCTAACCTTTGAGCGACATCGACAATCCCACCTGTCGCTGATCGCATTGCTGGAAAGAAGCATAAAACACTTCACCCCTTGGAAAGAACCAAGAGTGGAGAAAAGCCACATACAGTATCCCCTCGACTGGTAATAGGCACTGAATACAGCAACACGCCAATACTAATGCTCCGTGGCAACGTTCAACCAACCAATAAAATTCACTTCGAGACCTTTAGTGGTGTGTTTCTGTATTCAGCGCCTTTTATCTGTCGAGGGGATAAGCCCCCTCCGCGATTGGACATTCCAGAAATCGTATGATGCTGACTGCCCCCGCATTAGTCCGTCAGATGTGCCGGGCGAAAAATAGACTAGGAAGCCGAGCTATAATTCGGCCCGCTTAGCGCTCGGGGCATATTGGGTGCTCTTCATACGCCTCCTTGCTTTCCACCAGCTGCCCCAGGCCAGTTGCTCCTCACTTGCATAACCCATCGTTGTACTCCTCTAAATGCTTTGATTCCCCCCTTTACACTTTTATGCATACTCGCCCTGATATCGCATAGTGCATACCCGCGAAATACCCGGAAGTGCACATCGGTAGGCTGGAAAAAGCAATGTTCTTACTCCGTTTCCGGCCTGTTGATGGTGGCGGGCTTGGGAAAGTAATTCGGTGGTTATATGAAGGCATTTTTGATGGATTAGGGTGCGAGTTGGTGTAGGTTTCTTAACGTTTTCGCTTCGTTAGAAGAAAACGATATATGCTAGGTTTTGGTATCATTTCTCCCAGATTCTTTAGATGTGCAGAGGGTGAGCATATTTCTTGATACCCATCATCTGGCTACTACATGCCTACCTACTTACCGCCAGGTTACTTGGACTGTCCTCCACCCCACTCCAGCTTCAGTGCTCACCCGGCCCAAATTGTGGAGATTCAAGGGCTCCTTGATTCACGCCCCGTCATGTACGCCTTGATACCCGATACCCAATAATGCAAGCTAAAGAAAACGCCCAAGCAAATGCATAACCTTCCGCTTTTCGCTTTCCGCAACTTTTGGAAGTGCAGTTGCGTCGCCTACTCTAGTTGTATGGCGTCGCCCCACTCGCAATGATTAGGGAGTCCGTAGTGGTGGTGGCTTTGGGGAAGTGTAAAAGCTTTTTTTGTAGAAAATAAGGATTTCCTCATGGAGTGGAGGGAGATATGCGAGAACATCTGGAGTATATTCTAGGGATTGAGGTGGCTCGAAGCTTTCCGAGTGTCTCCACTCGCTTCAGGTTATTCTATCAGACTTGAGTTTCAGCCCACTTCCATGTGTAGATGCTGGTACCGGAGTTGGGTGATTGAAATAGCACCTATACTTACGAGAGGAACCACTGATATTGGTGTTTATGATGCACAGTAAGTACGAGGTGGAGTTCACTCACTCACCCACTTGCTTACTTTACCCCTCAATTTTGAAGAACTCACTACTATCTCCTCCTTGCTTCGGGAGGGGCTTCATTTTCTTTCCTCTTCTCGCAGAAATCAAACCAACCTCCTCGCCTTACTTCGAACCAGTGCCTTGATTCCCGTACATATGATGACCTTTAAATTGCCATTTACATTTCTAAACCCCGCAACTAAATCTATACGATCGGTAAATCCTCCGCAAGTGCACATTGGAGGAGGAGAGTAGGAGATCGGGTTGAGAGACGATATTGGTTGCAGAGCGTGGAGCGCTTCAAATGTGCACATGTACTGCTTTGACCATTTATTCACCAAGCCACTCAACGAGTGATGATACTCTAATTCCGTAGAGTTCCGGCAATGATAAATTGCTCCGAGAGTAAATCTCCACCGTAATCATGAACCACATTAACCGTTCCTAGGTGTGATATATGCACCACGGAAGATACACAGGATTCGAATAGAGCATACCCATTCACGGCGTTACTTACGTATTACGACCTATCAGTATCGATAGTGAATGTGTTTCTGGCGATGATAATGTCCGAATCAGCCACCGAAATCCTTCATACCACATCACCACCCTACAATCCTCAACACTCCTACACCTCCAAAGATCTAAAACCCTTCATCACTCGGTCACATGGTGTAATGGTTAGCACATCGGATTTTGAACTTTCACTAAAAAAGCGAACATTCCGGGGATCAGGGTTCGATTCCCTGTGAGACCTCATGGTATTTCGAAACATGAGATGAGATCAACCTGTTTTTTTTCTTTGCGGGAATGTTTTGTTTGGCTTTGTTTGGCTTGGGGTGGGCATAAGAGGTGTGTAATTGTGTGATTGTGATGTACAATACAAAGTGAGTACTGGCTTTCTACATTCCTTGTGTTCTTACTCTACCTTACGACATTTTTTACCACCCCACCCCATCCACCATATCCACATCCATATCCAAATGCACGACTCGCCTTTCTGAGCCACCGCAGCACTGTTCCTAAACAGCTCAGCCCGACTGAACTGCATGAAGCCAGACCTACTCCAAATACCAGATCTGTCAGTGACCTATCGCATATCGTAATGGGAAAATCAATGCGTGATGTCTACCGGGAGGCGGGGATTGAGGAGAAGCAAGGCGTGAAGCTGCACGAAACCCTGGTTTCAGCCACTGGGACTAGACAAGGGATATTGACTTTTGTCGACGCCAGCTGGCGCATGAGTCAGATATGAAAAAAATCCTCGGGAGATTTGCGTAAGTTGTTCTCACGACCCAGACTTTGACGCTTGCACTTCGCTATCACTCGTGCTCACTTGAAGAGACTTGACTAATAGTCAAATAGCGGATATTCGTGTATACTATCCAGAGCTATTCAACGTGCCAGATTGGGAGCACGTTATATATGTCTGTCTAAAAGCTCCTTGTCTTTGGGTTGGCTTCAGATGCGGCTTATTGCAGGGTCCAGGTGCCCCCAGGAGTCCCTACACACTCCCAAACAGGATCACTTGGACCCTGACGCCCGTAGCGATACTAGCACCCGCGAAAGGCCTCGATATCCTCACCGTATAGCTGCGTCCGGTCAGTGGAGAAGAGGGAACGGGGTGGGTTAGCATATGTGTTTGAAGATCTTCATTGGACAAGGGGGACTTTGTATGTGGTCATTCGGGAGGGGGTTGGTGAAATCAAGACGCTGGGCACTGGAGAATCATTGGGAATTAAGGGACACGACAACGACCACTGCAAGCATACAGGCCGGAGAGTTTTTTGAAGCAATCAGGCACGAAAGATATTGCCGGCACGGAACAGTTACTCTGCGATCTTAACGAAGGCTTTGTGGTTTCTATGATCGTTAAATTTGGCGGTCTCAACTGTTCGAATGGTTTGTGATAGCATTGTATAGAAGACAAGGAGCTCTGATATGTAGGGAAGGCGATTGGCGTTTTTGATTCAGATAGAATGATAGCTATGGAAACTGTATACTCGCTCCCCTCTGCTCCCACTCAAGAGTGATGACCAATGCCAATGAATATCTTACCCGAACCATCGAAGGCAGCAGTATCAGCGCCGACATGGCCGCGAGTGACATCAGTCCATCAGCGATACCCATTTCTACTAGACAAAACCTTTAGCTTCCCAGCTGCGACAGTCGGCATTTGCTTGTTTATCAGCCAACAGATCATTATGCACTTACTTCGACAAAGTGACTGTCATGTGGAAGTAGGTTGCGAGTCAAACGATTCTTGAGTCTACAGTACTTGATATAGTGTAAGAGGAGTTCAACGTGGGGGCTTGTAGATCATACCTGTAGCGAATTCGATTTCCAACTTCATTGCTTCTCCGTAACCCTGGATTAACCGGATACAGCAAGCACGCTCTCCCCCAAGAACGGCCTCGATGACTTCGGCGTTCATATTGACCGCCGTACACAGCTTGATGCGTCGTGTTGTGAACCTGATACTTCAGAGAGTGGTTCTCCCTTGCTAACTGCAGGATCATTTAATCCTTCCCCGCCTCGACAGAGGGTTATAAGCTGTATAAGAAGAAGTTAGCACGTCTGCTGGAATTGAGCAGCGGTGGAACTTACCTCTGTCATGTTCATGCCCGCGTGGATATCTCCGATCAGCTTGCGCCCGAAGGAAGGAGTCCAACAAAAGGCTCTTCTGACAGGTAGACAAAGATCCAATGCCAACAGTTAAAAGCCCAACGCCAGCAGACAAAAACCCAGTATCAGAAGATAAGGACCCAAGCCCAACACGTGCAAAAAAAGGTCCAACACAGCAGCTGAGGATCCAACGGTAACCACCTCTAGCATTGCTTGTGATTGTTGGGCAAGTACTGAAATACAATATTGCCGTTTCTTGCTTTGCTGCAAATATATGAGGCGGTGTGGCATCCTCTCGTATCCCGAGCCACATCTAAGAAACATAAGGGATTCCACGGCGGATGCGTAGCGGAATGATCTCAACGTTGTCAACGATAGCTCTATGGTTTCTGCAAGCGTTGAATCATATCGTTCGGGCGAACTAGGTTGTGTGGATGGTATGTGATAGTGCTGCATACAAGATGAGACGAGACGAGACGAGACGAGAAATGTAGGTTGTTCGGCCGATTTCACTTTCACCGTCGGTGATTGCAACATACGTTGTAACCGACCCACACCACAACCTCCGCCTACATTCTGCCTTCTACCCCCCCCCCCCCCCCCCATACCGATAGAAACGCTGCAAGTACGGTCAACACGCATCATGGAGCCTGACCGAAACGATTTTATTCCGGATTTTGCCCACTCTTCGGCATTGGATATCGTCAGACTAGAAATCCCGAACGAACCTTGATGCTCGGTAGAGAATCACAATGAATGTTCTAATCAATGTCACGCTTATAATATTAGATGCAGACCCTCGCAAACTTCAAATCAACTGGATTTTCATCGGTGCATTCTGTCATTAAGGCCTTCACCAGGCATAGCAGATTGCGCAATCACGCATCAAAAGATCCGAAGCTGTCTCCCTTGTGAGAGGGCTAGTCGAGCGTGAATTTGGACAATCAGTGCTGACTCGCGCAGTGAAGATCTTAGGTTGGCTGCTGAGCAGTTTCCTGGCGGTTGCTGAACGTAAGAAGAAAGACACGTTTGCAGCAGCATGGTATGATACCTGCATTTCTTGAGTACTCTGTGGAATTGTCACGCCACTTGCTTGTGGTTCTGGGCCACAACCGTGGCCGGCCGGCCGCCAACGCGCGTGGACGCATTCGTTCCACCTCCACCGTTGCCGCCACAACCATCTCCACCGCCGCCGCTCCCTCTCCGCACTGAATCCCCGCACTCTCCCTCCCATCCGACCCCGAGGATGTTCAATGAACATGCTCGCTGCTTTACGAACCTCTAACACCTCACACCATCAAGTCTAACATCGCTACTACTACGAACTACGAAACCCCCAAGACACGTTCTCCTATTGTCAAATTTATTGTACCTACTAACTATGAAACTTCCAATTCCGAAACTATTAATCACCTAGTGGTTCTGGGGGTTGCTCAAGACAATCTCGGATGAAAAACTTTCGGGAAACGGTGCCAACGTTAAACTAAACAAGCCCAGCAATCCCCTCCGATCGATACCAAAAACGAGCATAAGTGGGCTCTGTATGGCGTGGTCAGAGGTTCTGCCATGGTGAGAGGACGGCACTAATTGTCCTAGGATATTTTTGGATAGAATTAAAGCCGTTTTCGGATTGGTGATAGAGGCGGTAAATGATAAATTCAGCTTAGTTCTAGTTGCTTCACTGTACATTGACATTGATTCCTAAAAGATGTTGCTTTTTGTTACATTACCTCGCCTATTGCAGGTGAGGTGAAGCTACATTAAAACCATTAACTTCAGCGAAATTACGCCCATTACGGTCGTTTTACCTAATCACTCTACCTCCTTCTTGACTTGGTTGCTTCTCTGCATATCTACGCTTGAGATCCTAAGAAAGACGATCGATCAGCTTCACAAAGCGTGATTAATGTTGCAACGACCATGAATTCAAGTCACATAAGCCCCGCCAGAATGAATCTCTGCTTTTACCATCCACCCACCACACCCGAGTCACATAATTGTCAGTGCCACCCTAACTTTTAGACAAGCAGTTGACAGCTCATGACTATTCTTAGAGGCCGGGAGCTATATGCCCATGCAAATGCTAGTCCGACACGTTTAGTAGAGCCGCACCTTATCTACACGTCATTTCTCCTCACTCGCTGCTGTTAGTTGAACGTTGTGCATGTGCATAATGCGGGGACGTGCGGGGTCAGAAGTACATTTACTTCCTATCTCCCACCCAGAACAATTTGAGCATCTTCAGCAGATGTGATACTGAAGGAACCATTCCTTGCAGTTGTTCTTGAACATCAATAAATAGCGTTCAACTTCTCCGAAGGAATTCAAGGAATTTGACATCATTTAATTTCATCACGAGATTCCAATATGCGCCCAGTACCGTGCGGGGTTTGAAAGAGTCATAATTCAACTGGTCGCACTACTTAGGCAGCCATCCTAGAGAGTTTATCGAAATATACACACCCCGCCTGATGCAAGACGTCGACGACTTTTGTCCATCGATATTGACAAATCCACAAAGTACGTCAACGCAAACATTTTCGGGTCCACAGAAGAGAGTCGAGGTTACACCGAGCTTCACCGTACAGGGACCTCTCTTTGGTCCCTTCGTGTTACACAGAGAACTGGAACACCGAGTGGGAAGAAGACAACCCCCATCACAAGTTTTATATACGAAGTACGAGTTTCCCACCTCCTTTTCACCTACCATCCAACATCCCTTATTACTTCGTCGATGTGAGCTTTGCATTCTTCTTCTCACAGCTATATAGATTTTCACTTCCGTCTGCACTCCACTACACACGATGAGTCGCAATCAATCCGAATCCGGTTCTGAATCTACTCACTCCAAGCTCACACCAACTTCTGTTCAAGCCGATTGGCCTCTCAACATTGACTTCCTTCCCCAGAACCGTAGATCCAGCGATGGTAGGGACACTATCACCATCAGCAGCCAGTGGTTCAAGAACTGGTACCTCGAGCGCGCCACCGAGCACAACAAACTTCGCCAACTTCTGATCGAATCCCACACAATTCTGATCTCGTCCATGACCAATACAGGTGGTGACCTTTCGCCTAACAAGTCGGAACTTGAGTCCCGTATCAGGGAGCTGGACACCGAAAAGGACCATT